GGGAAACTTTGCATTAAAATGCTTGTCAGTCATTTTATCAGTCTTTTATATTTTAGTCCAAATGAATCATGTTTTATTTTGTAGCATCTCCTATAACATCTCAAAAATAAAAGTGATTTTCCTGCTGTGAGGAGTGCAGAGCTGGGCTGAAAGCTTAAAATAGCTCTGAAACTTGATCATCCCTTAGACAACTTAATTAACCAAAATAAATGGTCTTTTGTGTGCTATTTTTATTCTATTCCAGTTCATTTTTACCACTTAGTCAGTGGTATTTTCTAGCTAGCTCCTGTTTACTGCATTAAGCTCACATATTAGAAAGGATTCCTTAGAAAAGACCGTGAGAATTGACTAAGAATTGTTCTCTGAAGTGCTGATTCAGTGCAGTGGAGATAAGCAACAAGGAGGCAACAAACAGTATTCTGAGACTTCGCTCTTAAGAAATATTCCTTCTAATATGGCAGCATGCCTGCTCTACAGCTTTAATCGTTCACAGCCTGAAAAGTACCAGACTGAGAACTTGGTGATGACTAACATCTCATCTTCGCCAAGAGATGACTGGGAAAAGAGATTCTCTTCCAGAAACAAGGAGCGAGTTAGAAGTAAGACAAAGCATTTCCTTGGCATTTACCAAGATAATGAATATGATTTAAAAGCACAGCTCTAGTCTAAGTATTTATACTAAGAAGTCCACAAAGTCTGAAAACACACTTAGCATTATTTTACTTACAGGCTGAATTTGTTCTTGAAGACACTGTGTGTCTTTCCCTGTGTTTCCAGTAGTACCCTGTAGATACTAGTGTTTGAAGTTTGCTCCTTGCCTGTTAGATCTCAAGTTTTAGTCTTAACCTATCAAAACACCCCATTTTCTTGCCTCCAGTGATTGGCCTGAGAATAGACACCTGACCCCAGCCAGCCAGGCTACTCCCAGAACATTTCTTTGGGATTTTATTTATGTATGGACGTTGAGAGAGACACTGAAAGTGTCTACAGAAATCCCCGTAGGAAGTCTCT